TTAATTAATTGTATATTAGAAGAAGATAAAGATTTCTTAAATAGAAATTGCATTGAATTAACATTTGAACTATTGGAGAAATTACCATTATACAATTATGCCAGATTTTGCACTATGCTTTGTGATTGCTATGATTTTCAATACCTGGTAAAAAGTAAAGAATTAAATTTACAGAATAAATTAGCAAATTTTATTTTAGATCATTCAGCAGGTATTAGAAAGCTTAGTACTACTGGTTATATAGATTATGATTTATTAATTAATCATCATAGATTAGATAATTGTTTTCAGAATCTTTGTGAAATAAGTTGCAGTAGTTTTGATAGTGGTAAATTTTTTTACAAATTAGCAAATATTTGTAAAAATATTCAATCATTAGCAATAAAATGTGGTAGTAATGACAAAAATATGTATAGTTTAGCACAGCTAATTAAAGCACAAGAGCAAATTAAATATTTAATATTATTTATTGAATCATCAATGTTACCAGATGAATTAAGGAAAGCAATATTAACACATTCACAATCAATAATTTCTTATAAATTTTATGGCAACGGAGATCATTTTAAGGATTTATTATTACCAACTTTTAAAAATTTAAAAACTTTAGTATTATCAAATTGTCATAATAGCAAAATGATAAATTTGAAAAATACTTCACTGCCAAACATTGAATCTGTAAGGTTATATATTTCTCAACCATATATGTCAGACTTGTCTGATTTTATTAATATCAATGGAAAAAATCTTAAAAGGCTGATTGTTGATGGTTGTACAGATGGATTGGAAAAATTATTTCAATCAATTGCACAATATTGTAAAAATTTAGAAGATTTATCTATATTATATGAAGATGGATTAGACCAGAAATTAATGGAAGTACTTAATAATTGTATTAAATTAAAAAGTATTAGATTTAATAATTTTCCTGAAGGTATATTAGATTTTGATAAAATATTGACAGTATTAAATGAAACACTACCAGTAAACTTAAAGTCATTAGCTATCACTTGTAATGTTTATAATGTTAGCCGCCATTCTTTGGATATTCTAATGAAGAATTGGAGAGGACTCAAACCTTTAATAATGGAGATTTAATAAATAAGTATGAAAATTTGCTGGAAAATGAATATAACGATTTAAGGTTTTTAAAAATTAAAAATATTTAAAATCATTTTATTATTATAAATGTTATCAATAGAGAATAGCCTGGAGGATTTCAATCTTACATAATTTTATTATTATTTATGTATTTGTCATTCTTTATTGTAACATAATAAATATATTATTATTCATGCTATATATATTATATTGTGTAATATTACATTTGATGGTCATTTATGATTTATTGTTATTGATGGCAAACATCAATTGAACAGTTGGCCAACATTAGCATTAATTTAATGTTAAGTATGATTAGTGGCAAGTGGCAAATGTAAATTACAATCTTGATGGTTACTAGTTAATATTTTCTTATAAAAAGAGTTGGAGCCCCTTTGATTTCTAAATGTAACATTTTCCAATATCTAATCATATAAATAAATAATTAATATAACAATAATTCTTTTAATTAAATAATATTTATACAATAATATTTACACATAGAGCCCTATGCAAAATTTGCATACTTAAAACATACTTATTTCATGCTCAAAACACACTTAATTTAAGTAGAAATTAATTAATGTTTGAGCATGAAATAAGCATATTTTAAGCACATTTCAAGTGTAATTTAAGCACATTTTGACTATTATGGGGAAACACTCTCGTTTCTTGCAAATTTAAGCATGTTTTTCTACTTATTTTCCATTTATTTTCTACTGAACTATACTTAAATTATACTTAAATTACACTTAAAATATACTTGATTTATACTTGATTTATTATTAAAATTACTAGAAAATATATTGTTTATTTAAATTAAATAGACATTTTTATTTATTTTTTTAAATACAAATAAATTTTATAAATAGCAATAATAATAATAATAATAATAATAATAATAATAATAATAATAATAATAATAATAATAATAATAAAGTAATAACAATTTTTTTTCTTTAATTGTTGTGTAAAAATAACCCATTGTTTAACTATAAACCCATTTTGAAAGAAAGAAATATTAATCACAATGTTATATAATAAAAATTATTATTGATAATATATTATTACTTACTGCGTTATGCTTTGATGATCACACGCGTAACAATAATAGTAATAGTAAACCCCATTTTGAAAGATTAATACAATGTTATATATTTAATAAGAATTATTATTATTAATATATTACTAGGTGTAACCTGTCAGCTTCGCTGACAGTTTACATCTAGAGCACACTATAAATAATCTTGTAAATTTTTTTTTTTATTCGAAATTATTTAATACTGTAAATTCATAGCATTAATAAGTTATAGTTGCGTTTATTATAAATATGTATAGATTTAAAAAAATAACAGTTTTGATTGACATAATTTTGTTAAATTTGATTTCATGACTACAAAATGTCACATTATCAAAGTTAGAGAATAATCAAAAACTAAAACTAATACTAATGAAAAATATAATATTTTATTGTGGAATTTTTTATTGAATCACAATTAAAAATCATTTACATGCGGTAGTCTAAAAGTTACACATCACAACATATTTATTTACGTGCTTGTGGTAGTCTAAACGTAACCCAACGATACAATAATAGATAGATTGCATGTGGTGGTCTAAAACGTTACGCATCACAACATATTTATTCGCGTGCTTGTGGTGGTCTAAACGTAACCCAACGATACAATAACGGATAGATTGTGGCACACGTTTGCGTTATTGAACAATTCAAAAAAATTATTTATGCGTGGCAGCCTAAACGTTACGTTTATTTATGCGTGGGCGCCATTCTAAACGTTACGCTCACGTGAACCTAACGTTTTTAATATAATAGATTAGATGATATTAGCATTTCCAAAAGTATAAAATCTGAAATTGAATTTTATTTGACATCCACTCCTTTGGTGGAATCAGAAAAAAGTAGTCCTACCAAATCTAGCAGTTCAAGCTAGAGTTTATTTAGCTATACCAGCAACCTCTGTTCCATCTGAGAGGTTGTTTTCCTCAGCTGGTAACGTCTTCACAAAAAAAAGAAATAGATTGAACCAAAATAATCTTCATAATATACTGTTTTTGAGAGAAAATTATAAACTTTTTGATCAATAAGTTGGTTATTTTTTTAATTTTATATTAATTGATTTTTATTATGTTTTAATTGAAATTTTTCAATAAGAATAAATAATTCATTTGATCAAATGTTAGCTGGCTAGAATTTTTTACCATATTCATCAGCAGTGATTTTATTTATTTTTGGATACAAATTTCTGATTGGCCAATTTAAATTTCACGCACAACGTTTAGTAAAATAATAAAAAACCCCGAGTTTTAGTGAATTCATATATACAAAGTATGATATTTGTCTACTAAATTATTTGATAAAAAATTTATTCAAGTTCTTAGTCGGCTTAGCCGGCTAAGCCGGCTAACATCACTAGATTTAATGACATTATATTTAGATGCATTTTTTATGTTTGATCTTTATTTTTTTCAATGCATATTTATATTTTTTGTGAGATTGTTATAGGCGTATGTTTTCTTTTTGATACCCCAACTTCTTCAGTAGTTTTTTTCTCCTCTTTTATATTTGTATAACTTGTATATTATTATTATTGGTCCAATTTTTATTTCACTTCGGTTTATAAAAATTCGGATTAACGGGGCAATTTACATATAAATGGCTTCAAAAAACTTAAAAATTTCTTCGCTTTACGGTTTATAAAGTTTTATTAGTGACATTCATATTAACGGGGTAATTTACATATGTTTGGCTTTGGTGTTTTAAAAATTATTCATTTTAACGGGTTTTCGGATTAACGGGGTTCGGATTAACGGGGTTGCCTATGTATATAAATATTTTTTTATCTATATACAACATCGCATGATCACCTTTTCCCCATATTTTTTCAAATACGTTCGACCTTGATTTTATCTTTTATCTTTTATCGCTTTTTCAAGAATGAAATTTTACAAGAATAAATCATATTGGCTTAAAATAAGAGTTTTTCAATTTGGATTGGTCTTAATATGTTTTTCACTAG